CTGATTAACTCTCCCTGAGCCTGTCACCCCACTGGGTTTTTGTCATCTACCTATCACATGGGAAAGGGTGGAGGGCTCCTTTCAAGGTGGTGTAAAATGCTTTTAAGGGTGGTTTCCTCTTAGGGTGGGGGCCCCCTTATCCCTGCCTGCCTTTCTTTCAACTATCCGTCATCATCTTCAGAGAGAAATTTTTTTTTTTTTTAGATTTTATTTATTTGACAGAGAGAGAGAAAGAGAGCACAAGCAGGGGGAGCGGGAGAGGGAGATCAGCAGGGAGCCCGATGTGGATGCGGGGCTCGATCCCAGGACTCTGGGATCAGGACCTGAGCTGAAGGCAGTCACGCTTAACCATCTGAGCCACCCAGGCGCCCTTCAGAGAGAAATTTGAGTCTTACCTTGACTAGTATACACTTGGTTGGCCAAACTGAGAAAGATTGCTAATGATCTTATTCTTAAAAATATATACTTTATTCAGAGGTCAGTGAACTATTGCCTATGGGCCATAATACTTTATTAAAACACAGCAATATTCATTCATTTTGAAGCAGGAGAGCTAGGTTCTTGTCTCACGAAGTTGAAGAATGAATCTCGCGGACAACAGAGAGTGAGTAAAAGAGATAGAAGTTTATTAAGTGAAGATACAGAAAAAGCTCTCAAGAGCGAGAGGGGTCCCAACAGGGTTGCCCCACTTTTGCACTTTAACATCCCATGTGGGGAATCAAATTATTTTTTTAAGATTTTATTTATTTGAGCAGGAGAGAGGGGAAGTGAAGAGGGAGAGGGAGAAGCACACTCTCTGCTGAGCAGCAAGCCCAACCTGGGACTCTATCCCAGGACCCTGGGATCATGATCTGAGCCGAAGGCAGATGCTTAACCAACTGAGCCACCCAGGTGCCCCAGATGACTTTTTTTAATCTAAAATATCTTCTTTAGGACTCACCCCCCAAATCAGAGGAAACAGCAGAGAAGTAAAAATTGTTCTAAGGATCAAATATTATTATGAGTACAGAAGTACTTAAAATTTGTAAATCTATTGAAGGATACACTTACATTAGCCTTCTCTTATCCACAGGAGGTAGTTGCCAAGACCCCCAAAGGATGCCTAAAACCACAGGTAGTACCGAGCCCTAAATATGCTATGTTTTTTCTATGCACACATACTATGATAAAGTTTAGTTTATAATTGATAAAGTTAAGAATAATAACTAATAATAAAATAGAACAATTATAACAATATACTATAATAAAAGTTATGTGAATGTGGTCTCCCTCTCTCTCTCAAAGTATCTTATTGTACTTTACTCACCCTTCTTGTAGGACATCCTTCTTCTTATGAGATGATAAAATGCCTGCATGATGAGATGAAGTGAAGTAAATTATGTAGGCATTGTGATGTAGCATTAGGTTCCTATTGACCTCTGTTGATATATCAGAAGGAAGATCATCTGCTTCTGGATGATGATTGACCTCGGGTAAGCGAAACCATGGAAAGTGAAAGCATGGAGGCGGGGTTGGGGTGGGGTGGGGCGGAAGGATTACCATAAGTGAAGTGTTCTGGTTGACTCATCATTTGAACAAATATTTGTGGAGTGAGTGAATTTATTCACCATCTACTAGGTACTATGCTCCCATATTAGGCAGGATTCTCTAGAGAAATAAAACCAGGAGATTCTATAGGAGAATTTATATATAAATATAAATATATAGATATGATTTATTTTAAGACTGGCTCACATGGGTAGGGAAGCTGACAAGTCCAACATCTGCAGAGTAGACCAGCAAGCTAGAGACCCCGGAAAGAGCCCCAGGAGACTCAGGAGAGAGGAGGGAGGCTGGGGATGAAGTTCAATAACCAATGGCCAGTGATTTAATCAATAGTGCCTATACAATGAAGCCTTGATAAAAACTCTTGAACAACAAGATTCAGAGTGCTTCCTGGTTGTTGAACATGTTGATGTGGCAGGGGGATGGTTTACTCTGACTCCACAGGGACCCATCTGTGTTTTGGACCCTTCTGAACCTCGCCCTATGTACTTCTTCATCTGGCTGTTCATTTATATCTTTTACGATAAACTGCGATCATAAATGTAGTGCGTCCTTGAGTTTTGGAACTCATTCTAGATCATTATCAAACCTGAGGGAGGATCACAGGAATACCTAAATCTGTAATCCATAAGGCAGAAGTGCAGTCAGACTGAAGACTCCATTCATACTTGGCATCTGAGGTAGAGGCAGTCTTGGGGGACTGAGCTTAAGTCTTGGGGGACTTAACTTATGGGGTCTGCACTAACTCTGTCCAATGAGTTACAGAATTGAATAGAATTGTAGGACACATAGGTGGTTTCAGAGAATAGGAGAACTGGGAATTGTTGGGGAAACAACACAGAACTTAACCTAGGAGCCTAGTTTGGGCTGTAACCATGTGTCCCTTTCAGGGAGATAAGAAATTTTATTATCCTTCTGGATCAGAGCAATTCACTAGACAAATGGATATATCTGATCTTCTTGGTATATAAAAAATAAAATACTTCTAGGGGAAGTGAAGGCAAACATCCTCTATCCTTATACTATATACATCTCAGTATGCCAGGAGGTTAGTGCTTTTTATAGGAGCACCAAGAAATTTGGGAAGATCGGGCACCTGGGTGGCTCAGTTGGTTAAGCGACTGCCTTCAGCTCAGGTCATGATCCTGGAGTCCCAGGATCGAGTCCCGCATCGGGCTCCCTGCTCAGAGTCTGCTTCTCCCTCTGACCCTCCCCCCTCTCATGTGCTCTCTCTCTCTCTCTCTCTCTCTCATTCTCACTCTCTCAAATAAATAAATAAAATCTTAAAAAAAAAGAAATTTGGGAAGATCTATTTCCCTACTCTGCAGAACTTTGTATGTGCTCTTAGACTAGCACATCCTGCCTCCATCCCTCTCCTCCCCCTATCCTATCTTGGGTTAGTTACTTTGGACCTGAGCTTCAGATCTCAGACCACACATCCCTTCTTCTGGAAGACTTTCTTGACCTCACCACACAAAGCTCAGCAAGACGTTCCTCCAGAGTGCTCCCACAGTGCCCTGGGTCTAGAGAACAGAGCACTGTCACCTAGTATTGAACACTGTTTTCCCCTCTAGTCTGTGTGCTCCCTGACAATAGGACTTTTCCCCCTTGACATGCCCTATGCTAAGTACAGTGCTTTCATGAAACAAGAATTCAATACATATTTTGTTAAATTTTGTTAAATATCTAACTCTAAGGAGTTTACAATCAAAATGAGAACATAAAATTAGTATAATACAAAGGAAAATTACTTAAATTCTGTAAAACAGAAAAAAGCAAAATTCTACTAGTGTTTAAGGAGAAAAAAATTGTATATAGTTGAAGGACTATGTCTACAGCTCCAAATGCCACAGCAGTAGTAATGGAAAGTTACTGCTCTCTCATGTAACGTTCAGTGGTAGAGTGTAATCAAATACTGAACTCAGAAACTCAACTTTCACCTTCATCCCTGCCCCCCACCCCAATTCCCCCCACCCCCCATCCGAATCCAGCTCTAGGGCTCTTTCTCCAACAAACACAAAAACTGCTCTGATGACAGGTCTAATGATTGCTCTGAAGTAATGAGCCCACCAAGGAAGCTAGAAGCCTAGCTCCAGACAAGGGCACTCTCATTGATGGTGACAATTGCAGGACCATGTCTGGGAAGAGCACTTTTGCACCAAGCTGGAGAGGAAGGGCTGTCCGCTCTGAAAGTTTGTTTTCTCTGTACCTCCCCTGAGCTCCTTTCATCAGAGACAGGACAATGCACAGCATTCTCACTCCAAATCTAAATCTTCTAAAAATGATGAAAAGGAAAGGAAGGGGCACCTGGGTGGCTCAGTAAGTTAAGCGTCTGCCTTCAGCTCAGGTCATGATCCCAGGGCTATCTGCTCAGCAGGGAGTCGGCTTCTCCCTCTCCCCACCCTCCCCCTCCCCGCCCCCCCTTTTGCTCACTTTCCCTTCCTCTCTTTCTCTGAAATAAATAAAATCTTTAAAAATAAAAAAGAAAGGAAAATGTGGGATTTTCCCCTCAACTCTACATAAATATACACTGAAAGGCTTCCAAGAAATATAACTAAGGATCACATGGCATAGATATATTCCACTTTGGGGACAATCTAGATCCTTGATGTGCCTTGATATACAGAAACCCATCTTTCCAAAGGCCAAGGCAATTATATAGCAAAATTTCCCGATGCCTTGATCCCTCCGTCTACAATTAGCGAACAAGCTGTGAGCTAGTTTTGTAGAATTATCAAGGACTGCCCCTCCTCACCACCACTGGAGACTCAAGATAGCACAGAATCACTTCTGGTTTTAAAAGAGCTTAAAGACTAACCCAATTCTCTATAATACTACAATGCAGATAAGTGACTTACCTACGGTTACTAAATGGTTAAATGGGATACTACATGCACAGCGCCTGTAACAGTGCCTGGCAGACAGCGCTATCCAAGAATTGTCTATAATTAAGAGCACGACCAGATGTTCTAGCTGCAGGCTCTTACCATCCCACAAGCTCACTGCCTCTTGATTACACAAACTCCTCTGAACTGTCAAATTTAAGGTTTTCATTTGTGTAATGAATGAATGTCCCTTAACTCTGAGCACGGTTTTAATTTACATTCTTACATTTGGCGCTTGGTGCCCTTTCCGCTTTAAAAAGGAAACACCTGCCCGCAAATCAGTATTTTGGTAGGTTTTACGAGGTTTCCTTTTTTTCCTGCTACAACTGTTCCAAGTGAGTAAACACTATCCTTGTTCATTTATTAGGAAAGCTGATAATAGGAATTCCTCTTAACGCTAAGTGTCTTGAGGCACGCCGCCCCCAAGGTTAAAGGGACCTCGATAACACGTTACTAGTAACTAGCGTTACTAGAAACGCTCGGACCACATCACCACTCAGACCCGGGGGACGTGGACCGTCACTCACTGACGTCACTGCGCAAGCCTGCCGCGACCTGACGCCAGGGAATGACCTCAGGCGGGTGCGGGGCCACGCCCTCCCAAGCGCCATGCTGGGCGTTCGCGGCGCGGCCGTCGCGCGGGGCCTGCAGGTCCTGACGCACTCATGGCGGCGGGACTCCCGCGCCCTGGCCCTGGCGCGTGCGTGTGGCGCGCCCCTCGCGGGGCACTGGCAGCCTTCTGCGGGGCCGGGACCGCGCAGGCGTCGGCTCAGCCTGTCGGCCGCGGCGGTCGTGAATTCGGCGCCGCGCCCTCTGCAGCCCTACTTGCGCCTCATGCGGTTGGACAAGCCCATTGGTGAGTGCGGGCAGACGGGCCGGAGCGCGCGGCGCCGCAGGTCGGGGAGGCTGCGGGCGTCATGGAAACGAAGGCGCCCGGTACTCTTCGGACACCCGGACTCCGAAGTGGCCCTCCGGCTTTCCCATTCCCCTGAATCCGGAGTGCTCCCGGCGAGCAAAAAGCTGGCTCATTCCACAGTCCTCATTTAAACAGTGCATCGAGCGGAAATTCCGTTCTCGTGCCCCTTTATTTACAGTATGGAAGCACTTCCACATTCATTGTTAGAGCCTTCCCATTATTCTGTAAGGCTCCAAAGCAAAGAACTAAAACTGTAATGACGTTGAGGAAAGCAGAGCCAGACCGGGTGAACCATATATGGGACATTTCTACCTAGTGCCTACTGTAGAGCCTGGCAGTAGTATCAAACGAATTCCTACCACATCGCCTAGTCTCAGGGACAGAAAGATCTCTGGAAACTCCCTGCTTCCAAGGAACTCCTAGTCTAGTTGAAAAAGACAAATTGCTGGGTGAGCTAGGAAAGTAGGAGATCAAATGTTAGTGGTACAGAGGGCAAGTGCTACAGTTAAAAGAGTAGTTACCATGGATCTCCATTGCTAGAAAGTGTCAAGAACAAATTGGATCTCAAAGAACAGGTAGATTTTGTAGAAGAGAGAAGAAATCTTGAAATCTTGATGTGGAGAGATGTTTTTGCAAAGACTCAAGGGTGGAGAGGTGAAACGCCAAGGATATGAGCTGATCTGGAATGGCCAGTGGGTGTAGAAAACACTGAGAGGCAAGGCTGGATAAGACCGAAGAAGGATGGACAGTGGGAAGGGAGGGGCGGAGCCTGGATTCCAAGAACCTAGATGATGGCATTTGCCTGGCAATGCATGGAAATCCATTAGGATGCCTAGATATAGTCACTCTACCTCTGCCCAGCCAAGACCCCAAATTAGGTCTTGCTTGTGGTATTCTAGGTTTATGCACTACTTATTTGGGATCAGAGCACTAGTGTTAAAACAATTAGCTATTAAAGTATAAAAGCAAATTAAAAGCGCAGTCCTGCCTTCACAACCCCTTGCATTTTGGGGCCAGATAAAAGTTGATAGGCATACATTTCCAAGCCCAGTTCTCATCTGAAGCGTAACTATAATCCTGTTTTGGTGTCTGTGTTACGGAGCAACAGTATAGGCATACAAACATCCAGGACAGATCAACAGCTGCCATTATTCCCATTTCCACAAACCTCTGGCTTTTACATTAGTGGCTAAACCACCCCACCACATAATGAGAGGCTAGCTACCAAGAGGTTATGAATAAAGCTCTGGAATCAGACCTCTTCATTTCTCATCCATAAAATGAAGATACTAATAGTACTGGCTTTATAAGGTTGTCAGGAGAATTCATTTATACATATGTGTGTGAAGTCCTTAGAACAGTGCCTGTCATAATAAGTGCTCAAGAAATGTTAAGCATTAGTACTTGAGAAGTGGGAATTGAAGAAGACTGGGTTAATAGTTACGTATGTTAAGAGGATACCAGCCTGCATGCCTTAGTTCTAAATAAGATGATGATTGCAGGGTTTTTTAGACAATTTACTAATAGTACTATGTTACAATTCATTCAACAAACATTTTTTGAGCCCCTACTATATGCCAGGGACAATAAATTGACAGTAGAATTGCAGGTTTGATATTTCTTTATTTAAATTATTCTTTCATGGGGCAATTTTACGTTCATTGTTTTACTTTGTTGAAGTTGGATCTTGTTTTTGTAAGCCAAAGTGGAATTCATTGTTTTTCAGAATGGATTACAACTTCTTTCGAATGTGCCACAAACTACGGTATTTCAGAAAGTTTCAGCAGGTGGCACTCGTTACACTAAATTGGTGGTGTAATTTTTGTTTTACTACATTTATGGGTCATTATGTTGTCTTGAAGATAATATGCAATTAAAAGAATCTTAGGTTCTATTTTCACAGGTTTTTTGGTCTGCCCACCACTCCTCTCAGAACTTGTTCAATTTATTTCATCTCCCAGAGAATTTTTCCTTTTTCTACAATAGACATTTCTTTCTGAAATGCATCCTCGTTACCTCTGCATCCTTCTTCACAGAGGAGAGAATAATGAAAGTACCAAAGGGAAGAGAGGCAAGAACTGTGGCTGAGAATCAGGAGCACAAAGGAGCAATAAGAACTTAAGTGTATGTAGAGATTTAGGTATACTGAGTGATAGTATTGGCCTTAGACAGACTAGAGCCAGGCTACGTGAGTTTAAATTTGAACTCTGCCACTTTTTGCCTTTGTGATCTTGGGCAAATTACTTCCTCTGTGCTTAAGTTTTTGTATTTGTTAAGTGGGTATCATAAAAACTGCCTATCTCATAGATTAGTCATGAGAATCAAAAGTGTTCAGTGACAGCACCTGGGACATAGTAACAGGTACATGTTTGCTCTTACTGTTTTTGCATCATCACCAGTATCCTTTGCTAATAACAGTTCTGAGGTAGATAGTCTTTCCCCTCATTTATACATGAAGAAGACTGAACCTTAAAGTTTAATATACTTTAGTGTCTAGCATCACTCCATTTCTTAGTGGCAGACATCAAACCGAGTGTCTGACTTTCCCCTTCATTATAGGAAGCCCCCCTCATCTATAGGAGTGCCCTACAGATTCCTATAGGTAAGTGAATATAGTACCTGTAATGTAGACTGATGGCGAAGGAAATTTTGTTGCTAATGCAAAAATGCTGTAGGTGACTACACATCTTTTCTCTCCAGAATTCTTTTTTTAAATAGTTCTAATTGCACCAGGAAAATCATGCCTTTGAAGTGGTGTTCTTTTGTTCCTGTCAGGGCAGGGTCACTCTGTCCCTTTGAGCTATACTGGTAGATCCAGGAAAAAGGAAGTAAACACTTAACCTCTCTGTGTGTTTGCTTCCTCATCTGTAAAATAGGAACAGTACTGGTGCCCACTCTGTAAGGGTGTGGTGGAGGATTAAATGAGTCTGTGTGCATAAGAATTTAGAATAGTAGCTAACATTTCAGTAAATGTTAGCTGTTGTTGCTTTAGTTTTCTATGGGACACACCAAATAGGAATCTGTTCAGGACAACCTGAATCTGAATTCGAGTGTGAACTGGCCCTTTCTTGTTTTCAGCCTCTCCTTGTCTTTTCTGCTGTGTCCTCCGAGGTCCCTGCCCCAATGACTTGGGTGGCACTGTTATTTATGCCTTTGTAGGACCCTGTATTTGCCCTGTTTGTGAATTGATCTATTTTATTATTGTTTAACCGTGTTTCTTCCTTTTTATTTATAAGCTTCTCTCCCTTAGTCACTGTTGTATTCTCAGTTCCTGTATGTGCTTTAAAAATACTTAAAATGAATAAAGCTTAAACTTACAAAGTTTGAATATGATTATAGGCACTTTGTCATTTGGTCATTTTTATATAAGATCTCTATTTAGCCACATCTCCTTTTTCTCTGATGTACCTAAATTGGGAAGTAAAGATCAGAATTTATCGTAATAGGCACCATATCCAAACACTTGTTGAAAGACTTTCTTTTTAGAATATCAAAGTTTACATGTGAAATCTCTTTTCTGTACAATCTATTTGGTTTTAGCTTAATTTCATCTAGTTTAGGGGCTAAGTACCAAGAACTAATGCCATCTGAGCATGGAGCTGCAAAATATTTAAAAAACAGTAGGTTAATGACCTCCTTCCTGCAGGACCATTTTTCTTTTATTGTACTAACAATAGAAGAAAGTTTTGCTAACTTTTTTTTAGCAGATAGTATATGCATATGATACAAAATTCAGAAAGTGCAAAGGTGTAGAGTGAAAACTAAGTCTTTCTCCCCTGTCTCCCAGCCACCCAGTTGCCCTCCCCAGAGGCAAGTATCAGTTTCTACTGTATCCTCCCTGACATGGCCTATGAATATACTGACATTCAAGTGTATGTATTTGGTGTTTGGGGGTGCATACGCACAGTAAAAATAGTTTGGTTGCCCTCCATAGGGGTGGACTGCTTTGTAACCTCATGAGAAATGTGTGAGTATCTGACTCCCCAGGGTGTGTTGTCAGAATCATTCTGACATGTGAAAAATGTTACCTCGATATAATTTTGATGTGTTATTCTGAAAGTTGATCTTTCATATAAATAAGAGTCATTTGTATTTCTTTTTCTGTGAACTTCTGTAATCTTTTTGGTCTGTTTTTCCGTTGGGACTATTGATCTTTTTTCAGTTTCTAGGAACCCTAAGTATTGGGCCAAAGATATGAGTTCATTTACTTTCCCAGTTTTGTCATGTGTTTTTGATTTTGTGTTCTTTACTTCTTTGGGATGTAGTGTTTGAACAAAGGAAGACAGTTAACTAACTCGAATGTGTACCTTTTTTGTCTTTTTATTTTTGCTTAGGCACCTGGCTGCTGTATCTGCCGTGTACTTGGAGCATTGGGCTAGCAGCTGAACCAGGTTGTTTTCCAGATTGGTACATGTTATCCCTCTTTGGCACTGGAGCTGTTCTGATGCGCGGAGCAGGCTGTACTATTAATGACATGTGGGACCGGGACTATGATAAAAAGGTAGTTTCTTCCTGAAAAGGAATAGGGAGGCTCCTCTCAATTCCGTAGAGTGACATGGTGGCATCACTTTTGAAGTCTACAGGTGGCAAAGGATCATTTAGTGGACTCACTGAGATCCAGCATGAGAAGTACCGTTTTTCAGTTGAGTAGCTGGTATTGCACTGTGCATCGCTCGTCCTTTCCTTTCCCCACACGAGAGCGGCCCTGCAGGTGGGGCGTATACTTCATTCTTACAAAATGAATTAGAATTTAGAAGGCCAAGGGAAGGATGTTAGGAGCAAAGTGAAAAGTTCATCCTGAACCTTTGCGCATCCAAAAGAACGGTCGCTCTTTCCTTTGAGATATGTACTGGAGTTGTAACTATTCTTCTATAAATCAAATCTTAATTAAAATAAGCCAAGGAAGCCCCTATTAGCATTTGCTATAATTGTTTCTTTAAAAAATGTAACTTTTGTTCTTTTTTTCTCCGTAGAAAAATAGTACTTGTTTAATCTGAAAAATTCAGACAGTACATAAATAGAAAGTATGGAAAGTGCAAGTCTTTCTTTTTTTTTTCTTTAA